TGACGTTCAGAAGCAGGACCCTAAACCCTAAACCCCCGAAACCCTAAACCCTAAACCCTAAACCCTAAACCCTAAACCCTAAACCCCCTAAACCCTAAACCCTAAACCCTAAACCCTAAACCCTAAACCGCTTCGCTCCTGGAGTCTTTCGTCTGCGATGTTACCGTGTCGCGAGGCGGGAAGAGCTGGCTTCGTGATCGAACTGCAAGATAGGGTTTAGGGTTTAGGGTTTAGGGTTTAGGGTTTAGGGTTTAGGGTTTAGGGTTTAGGGTTGAGGGTTGAGGGTTTAGGGTTTAGGGTTTAGGGTTTAGGGAGCCCAATGCAAGACAGCCTGCATGTGTTTGAGTCTATGCTATTTTGGCAACAAGCTTTCAAGCTTCAGATGCTCAAGCCAAGATGCCAAGGAATCAAACCCTAGCCAAACCCTTGCGACGAGCGGATGGAAGGAAACAAGACAGGGGACAGAACCCGACATTCCCACAGCCAGGGGTTCAGGCATGGTTCAGGGTTACGGGTTTAAGGGGTTAGGGTGCCGGTGACTTCCTGTCAGCAACGCAGCCAGGGTTCCCTGAGCTCAGGGCATCTGTCGCTTCAAGGCCCTTATTCAAGGCTTTATCCTGGCTGACCCCAACGTGGCAGGTACGTTTCCGCTTTGAGGAGCTGATATAAATATATGTTGGGTAGGTGTGCTCGGTCAATGTGAAACAAATACGGAGCCTGTCCTATGATACACCGGCCCCAGAGTAACTTGCTATCTTGTGATGTGAAGGTTGTACCGAAGATCGACACCCTCCTAATCCTAAACCCAGTATCATCCTTTCAAGGTCGGCAACAAGAATCCTGTTAGGAGAGCTCCACTATAAAAGCAACCATATATAATTATAATTTGATGCAAATAAACGCCAGAATCCCCCAAGAAGCCTTACACAGTAGTAGACCCCATACACCTACACCGAACAGCATCCGCTCGAGCTTAATCTGTCTGGTGCTTCGTAGGGAATGGGGGAATGGGTTATAGGGACTACTATAATGGACCTTATGATGGGACTATCATAGGGATCCATTCCCCCATTCCCTACTAATCACCAGACAGTAATCCAGGCCAAGAGGCAACCTGCCACTCCGCAAGCGGCGTGAAGAAAACAAGAATCACGACCACGCCGAATCTGAGAAGTCGCACTTTCCCCAAACCCGAAGTATACCCGAAACCCTAAACCGCAAGTCCTAAACAGAAGCATTATAGGCCCCAATCCTGTTTCTGTCAATGCCGAACAGTCCATCTTGTGATAGTAGGAGTTGGGATTAGCGGGACCCTTGGGGATATAGACCCTCTCAATAAGGGCCCGTTTAAGAGAGACAGAAGTAGGGTTCAGAAGGGTCCCCTTTGAGGGGTCTCCCCAATACTACCTTAGTCTACCAGCCTTAGCCCGTTGAAGGCTGCGTTGGTTGGTCAACTGCGCATTTCTCCATACAGTATATGTTGATACTTCCCTCAATTAGGGTCCCTTTTTGATCCCGAAAAATAGTACAGCACCCTTTGAAAAGGACACTAAAAGGGACCCTGATTTAGAGAACTACCAGAATGCATGCCTGCACAATGCTGCTGAGCATTCCTACACCACAACTCTTCTGCCTCACACCTGGCGCATGCTGGGGTATCACGGGCCATCCTTCCGTCCCTAAGCCCGAGTTCTGAAGAACGATGAAATTTAAATGAAATGCATGCACAGATCTATTTGGGCATCTAGGCGCTTTTGACTGAATGAGTACCACTTGGCAACATCATATGGGGGTTTCCGAACCGAGTAGGGTCCTTATTATAAGGACACCCAAAAAAGGTACCGTAATTTTTTGGAAACTCCCATATCGGGCTGCGGGTCTCGAAGGTGGAGTTCTCTGAACATTCGTTGGAGTCGTACTAGCGCTATCTGCACACAACGCCACCCCGGACCCGTGAATCCTAGAAGGGCTGCAATCTAGACTCAAATCACTATATCTGCAACTCCTTACAGCTGGTCCAGCAAATCTCAGCCACTGAACCCGAAACCCCAAATTCCTTCTGCAATCCAGATGCGTGAAGATGAAGACAGGGAGGATGGTAGAAATGACGAGCAAGTTCGCCAGCCAATCCAGGATGCGATACCTGGCGTTAGGGGGCGTTATAGAGTCCCTCTACGTACCCTTTTGTTCAAGAGCCGCTTAAGGGTTCTAGAGACTTCTACAAGGACTCTAAACCCTAAACTCTAAAAATTCTTAAACCCTATAAACCCTAAACTCCAACACCCCAAACCCAAAAACCTTAAGACCTGAGCCCAAAATCCTAAAACTTAGGGTTTCAAGGCTTAGGTTTGGGGTTCGCGGTGCAGGCTTCGGCCTCGGTTCGGCTCTAGAGCTTTTGGGGCTTGGGCTTAGGGTTTAGGGTTTAGGGTTTTCAGGGGCTTAGCTCTACAGTAACTGCAGAAGATGGGGGGGCCTTCATAATTAGAGCGGGGTTTCGGCTCTTTTAATGATATAAGGATCAGAAGAACCCCCCCCAAGGAATATTTTTGGTAATGCTTGAGTCTTCTACAGTTCGTTACTCCGGGGATTTCTTAAGCTTAGGGGTGCCTTATTAACTGAAGGCCCGCTGCCTTCCGAAACTCCCGTTTGAGTTTTGGCTTTCAGGTTCAGGTTTTAGCGCGTTGATGGTTTGGGGTTCAGCGTTCAGGGTTTAGGGGGAAGGGATCTGAAGTCTTTCGTGGGCCACTGGGGCGACAAGCGCTTCGATGGTACTCGAGGATATTTGGGTGGCTTCCTAAATTAGGGTCCCTTTTAGAGTCCTTATAAAAAAGGGTGCCGTACTATATACGGGGACCTAAAAGGGGACCCTGGCTTAGGGAACTACCTATATAGAGCCCAGATCATGCCTGAAGCATCCTCAGCCCTGAGCCCTTCAAAAACTAAAACAGAAAAACCCTCAACTCCCCAACACCGAACCCCCTAAAATCCTAGAAGCCCCCATCAAAAACCCTAAACCCTAAACCCTTTCATGGATAAGAGCCCAAAGCCCTCTTAAGAAGCGCAGCGAATGCAACGGTGCTGCCTTCAGCGACTTGCTTCCCCTATCTCTGCGAGCCCATGATGAACCCCTCAAGCCCTCAAACCCGATCGAGATCAGGCCAAATGGGCTCGGCTTTAGGGTTTGGGGTTTGGGGTTTAGGGTTTAAATCCAAAACCCTAAACCCCAAACCCTGACCTCAACCCAAAACCCCAAAGCCTCAACCCTTAAAGCTGAAAGTTCACGGCCTGACCTCTTTGGCTCCACAGAACCCTCAACTTCCAAGCCCTAAAGCAGCATACGATCCGAAGGCCAAAGCCTCAAACTCATTGCAGAAGCATAAAACCATAATACAATCTACCTTACTATAGTTGGGGATACCTTATAAATTGGTTAAACCAAGAAAAGCAACTACAATGGAGACTATAGGTAGAGCCCTTTAACCGAAGCTCTTCCTGCGAAGCGACAGCCCCAAGCCCCAAAACCCGCACCTAAATCCCAAAAGCCCCAAACCGACACTCCGACAGTCAGAGCCTGAAAAAGCTCGAAACCCGGAGGGTCCATGTACTCAAATAGGGGTTCCTTTAAGGGTACCATAATCGGCTTCTATAAGGGATCTATAAGGTTTAGGGTATAAGGGTCCATGTTCTTTCCCATGGAATCCGTTGTAGTTTTTTTTGGGGGGGTTACCTTATAGGATCCTAAAGATAAACACCACAAAAAAAAGCTACAATGGAGCCTATGGGTATGGAGGAGTATATACTCTTTGGCCTTCAACGGGCATGGACCCTGAGGGACAGCCGTAATGTAGGGGTCTGGGCGGTCTGGGTTGGGGGGGTAGGTTACGTACAGTAGAACCAGAGCAAGGAGCTGTGCGGAATAGTGTTGCTGAAGCAGGAAAACACTTATACCAATTGTTCTGACCCCTGGGCTCCGTTTAAAGGGGTCCCTTTTGAAGGCACCCTGAACTCTTCAAGGAACCCTTAAAAAGACCCCATATAGTTTTCCATCCGCGGCTAGGAGCCCGCGTGGCTGCCGCATGCAGCGCGCGGCGTAGAAGAAGGACCTCGGTACCCAAGGCCCTGAACCCCAAACCCCATAGCTGCAAACCCCCTAAACCCCTATACCCTTATAAGCCAAGAGACCTCCCAGTTGAAGGCTTTAGGTTCAAGGTCGAGGTCTCTGATTGCAAAGCTCTAGGGCTTCAGGGCTTTGGGGCTTTGGGCTGTGAGATGAAATGAAGGCCTCTACAAGCTCTGAGTGGGTCTAGTCTAGACCCTAAGCCCAAACCTAAACCCTAAACCCTAAACCCTAAACCCTAAACCCTAAACCCTAAACCCTAAACCCTAAACCCTAAACCCTAAACAAACCCTACACCCTAAGGGATGTTGTCAGCACGGGCGTTGTTCAGGATTCAAGAAGACTTTGTTCAGCACTCCTTTGTGGAAGGACGGGGTGTTGCAAGGGTGCTATCCAGGCTTCCGCATGCGTTGCAAGTTTCCTCAACCCTACGCCCCAAAACCCTAAACGCCAAAACCCTAACACCAAATACACCAAACGAAGGCTTCAGAAAGGGTTTCGGCTTCTCTTGGCCTCTGTCTAGGATTGAGAGCTGATTAAGCTGCGCCAGATTGTTGAGGTTGGGCAGGGTTGATGTGAGCCTTGCGGCTTCGAGTTTAGCACATATAATATACAGTATATATATATATATATTTATTTATTTATACAGAAACATACTGTAAGCTTATGAAAAGAATTGAATTATCTGTGGTGTTCAGGCTTCGCGCTTGCTAACCCTGAACCCGTGCACGAAGCTGAGGCCGGGCTGCGCCAGGAAGAAAGGGAAGGAGCCCATCCACCAGCCAACGCCGGAGATCAACCAGAACCTTATTGTTGGGGCTATACTGGGTTTAGGGTTTAGGGTTTAGGACCATTCAGTTTATAGTACGGGGTTTTGGAAGTTTGGAATTTAGGGTTTGGGATTTGGGGTTTTGGGGTTGAGTGTCCTAGGCTTTTCCGGGGTTGGGGTGCTATACTGTGGACTGGGCGCCGAGGCAGTGATGCCAGATTCCATACTAATATGCTGGGAGACCGAGAAGGCCTTCATAGGCTTTACAGGCTGCGCATTAAGCTTGAGAGTTTGGGGTTACTGGGCTTAGAGCGCCAGCGTATGTTTAAATCCTACAGTATCAAGTATAACGGTGTAGGATTCGCATGTTCGGGATGAACCCAAGATAGCACATCCTGATTACCTAGAAGGAACCCTCAGTTAGGTACCCTCGGTTTAAACCCTAAACCCTAAACCACCCTGATTTATGAAACTCCGACATAACAAGCACAGCATAAACACCGACGGCCGACACGAGTGGGTGTCGTTCCCCAAGACGCTTGTGTCTTTATGGTCTACCAGGGTTTAGGGTTTAGGGTTTACGGTTTAGGGTCTACCCTACTTAAAGGATCATGGGACATAGTAAGTAGGGTTATAATTAGGGTACTATACTTATAACCCCAATTAAGGGACTTATAACCTTACTTACTAAGTCCCATGATCCTCCAAGTAATCCCCTAAACCGCATCACTTTCATAAGAATCCGGCCATACCAAAACCCTTTCCCAGTTACCTATGAAGTGAGCTGATGCTCCTTCAACCTTATACAGCGCTTTTTGTAGCCATAAACCAGTAACTGGGGTCTTACGGTGACAACGGCGCTGCACGACCCCAATCCCCATACCCCGTACCACAACCAAGGAGGACCCTGCCAAACCCTAAACTAAACCCCACTAACCTACCAGTTACTATGCAGTAACACACACGATGTAGACTGGCCGGGTACAGCCGTCGTCTGCAGCGTAGGCACAGCCACCACATGTCCAGCTTCATGAAAAGGATGTTCTCGATGGCCAAATCCTCCGAGTCTATGTATGTATGTATGTATGTATGTATGTATGTACTGTATGTGATGTATGTATACAGATATAGATTTTTATGTACATGTTACCTGACTGTCAAGATATATTACATGCGAGAAGGAAGCAGGCAGGTTTATTCTGATTCGTTTGTCTATTCCTTTGTCTATGAGTCTATTCGCCTATTCTAGGTTTCCAATTCCATGTACCGAGAGCGAGTTAAACTCAGTACATATTTGGCCCAAGCCCACCACCATGCTTACGCTTCACAGGGTGTCTCGTTGTTTTAGACATGGGCTGACTGGATCCCTGGTTGGATCAATGAGTTCGAGAGTTTATATAGGGCCGTCCCGCCGTCCCACCCAGAGCACTATGTATAGCAGTGGCAACAGAACAGTGCCACCAAACACCGCCAAATCCTAAATCCGCAACACAGAGGCCCTTGAGCCCTCGTTTGATAACACAGAATGAACACTCCCTGAATACTGAACCCTAAACACCCAACCCTAAACCCCAAAACAACCCTAACCCCCGAAACCCTAAACCCTAAACGCTGTAAGACCGGACCAAGAGCCCTCTGCAAACCACGATTGAACTCTCATTCGCAAGCTTTTGCAAACAAAGCCGCCTTCTACGATGTTAGCTCCAGCTTCTTGTTCCTTACGCAACACCCCCCGAACATTCCCAAAGACATTGAAACCCTGCACCCTAACCCTCAAACCCTGAACCCTCAACTCCCGGAAACGTATCTGTACTCGTCTCATAAGCAAGACTGGAGATGTGCTTGATCCCACTTGTGGGAAATCCTGAACAAATCATGATCCTGCAGAGACCCAAGCAGTAGTAATACACATTCCCTCTACAAGTTGAGGTTGATTCTAGAAGTCTTTATCATCGAAAGGTGAGAAGACTCAACGTGACTCTGCAGAAACCATGCACAAACTTCAAGAGCCTCCCGCTTGAAACCCACCAATCAAAAAAGCTAAACTGCGCCCAAAGGCCAGCATGATCCACAAGAGCGGCATGCTGGCGACGAGAAGAAGCGGGTAGGGAAACCTGGTTTCCGCTGAAGATGAAATCGGGGCTTCTTTAGGGTTTAGGGTTTAGGGTTTGGAATCAGGTTTCCTGCTGGGGTTTGGTGTGTCCTGCTGTTTGTCAATGGCCCTGCCTCAAAGTCTATATCGATGTAGCTATACTCCAAGGGTCATGGGACTTGGTACCTAGGCCTAGAATACGATATCTCATGGCCGAATTGGGGTACTTATAAGCTTACTCACTAAGCCGCCTCAGCACAAACATCGAACCCTAGCCTTTCAAAGCCCCTAAACATAAAGAATAGAGACAGAGAGAGAGAGAGAGATAGATAGATAGATAGATAGATAGAGAGAGAGAGAGAGAGAGAGAGAGAGAGAGCGGGGGTATAGGGTTTAGGCTTTACTGTAGGGTTTTGGGTTTGGGGATTAGGGTTTAGAGTCAGAGTACCCCTCTATCGCCCCCTGTACTGACCAGCATTCCAGAACAAATCCGGCACCCTATTCTACTGTTTCTGGCCCCGTTACGGTCGACTACAAGCCCGATAATAAAACAAACCATAGGATGCTCCGTAGCTCCTTCTCAAGACCTTACAGAAAACGAACCCTATTCTGAAAAAAGCTCGTGGCAAAGGGTGTAGGGGTCAGGTGCCCCGAGGTCCGGGGCTCTAGGGCTTTAATGTAGGAGTCGAAAGAAGACGCACCGTGGCGTGCACCTGTCTACGGTTTAGGGTTTAAGGTCCTGGGATCCGACAGGCAAACAAAAACAACAACAAGAGTAAGCCCTCCAAACCCCCACGGCATGACCTGGACAAAAAACAGCGCAAAAAAGGAAAGGGATGTACCCAAGCGAGAAGACCCAACAGTACAGCAACTGGGTTTGAGTTTCGGGCCGAGGGCTTTCGATTAGTTAGGGTTGTTAACCCTAAACCCCAAACCCTAAACAGTGTTTAAGCTTCCGGACTTTTTGCTCTAAAACCTCAACCCTGACACGAGGCTTCTGCCAGGAGACAGCGTCTGACCGAGCTGCGTGGGGATTGCTGCAGACAGCATCCTTACATGGAGGATCAGGGGACTTGGTAAGTAAGGCTGCAAGGCTTTATGAAGTTTCAATCAGGCTTCTGTACAGGCTCTATGGTATTTTGGGGTTTAGGAGACTTTGTAAGCAAGGTTGTAAGTACCTCAATAGTGTCCTGTACAGATATTGAATCTATTCATATCTTTCTCATCCCTATAGTTAAGAAAATCCAATGACCCCTGAAGCAGACTGTGCTTCGGTTGGAGGATTGTTCATCAAACACCAGAAATACCACAACTGGTTTCAGGTTGCGGCTTAAGCCACCTGTCAAAGCTCGAAACCTCGCATCGGCTCCTGAGCCCTGCAGACACAAGGTCCTCAAAACACCAAGACACTAGAAAGCCTAATGCCAAACCCTAAATCTCTGACCCGAACCCTAAACCCTAATCCGCTTATAATCAGGTTCGGCTTCTGGCTCGGTATTTAAAGCATCAATGGCTGTCTGGATCTTATCAATATTGGTAGAACGCACGGCTGAAGAACCAATTTTTGGGGATGCTTGCCTTGCGCTTCGGGGCACCGGTTTCCCAGGAATCAAAAACGTAAAAAAACGCGCACTACTGAACAACCTAAACCCTAAACCCTAAACCCTAAACCCTAGTCTGTGTCTATGGCGGACCTCCGACCTGGGAGCTTTCTGTCGCATCCCTCGATCATAAACCCGAATATAGCACTAAAGACTGGAACAGGGGTCTCGGGGTATAGCACCCTGAACCCTAAACCCTTAAACCCCAAACCCTGCTCACAAGCACGAAGGGGTCAGCTCGAAGTTGACCGCCATGGTTTTAGGGTTTAGCTTGTGCCCTAAACCCCGAACCCCAAAACCTTAAACCCTAAAACCTAAAGAGTTTAGGGTTGAGGGCCTCAAGCCCTATCTAAACCCCAAACCTGAAACCCTAAAACCTACTCAAGTTTAGGCAAGGCCTGCTACATCGACTTCGTGCTGGCTTCAGAAAGTTTGAGATGCTCGGAGTTTGCGGCTTGTCTGACCTTCAGGGTCTGGGTTTTGTTTTAGTGTTTGTTTTTTTTGAGGGGGGTTTGGGCTTTATGGGTTTAGGGTTTTGGCACTTAGGGTTTCGGATGTTCAGGTGTGCAGCTGTGCTTTAGTGTCTTGCTTGAAGTGCAGTGTCTTGGCATTCTATCCAGCTTTGTTTTCAGCGCAAGGATTCAGCAGTTCAAGTTTATGACCATCAGAACCCTAAACACCCCAACCTACACTTTAGCACAAGGCAGAGTGTGGTAAGTGTCTAGACACCAATGCAGGGGCCTAGATAAATAGAATAGGGTTTTGGGCTCCTTTGTAGTATTATAATAATACGGAGCCACCCCAAACACATTAGGTAATTATTCAGGCTCCTATATTACATTCGACCCGATGTTACCGTAAACCTGCTGGACGCAGGACCACCCCTGCAGCCTAGCCGCATCTTTGCCTCCTCCTCGAAAGCTTCTTCGCTGCCGAACCTGCAAGAGCCGCGGTTTGGATTCTTTGGGGCTGTTCCGGAACCTCAAGCCGCAAACTCCAAACCCTAAAGTCCAAAAACCCATTCAAGGGTTCTCTGGGTTTGACGCTTCCAATCTGAAGCCTAGCAGCCAATTCCGAATACATCGCAGCACGACTTCTCCTGGGTGCGCCGGGGGGATTTGTGGTTTCGGTTTGAAGCCTGGTTGACGTTAAGGTTTGGGGCATATGGGGCTTCTGGGTTCAGGCTTTAGGCTTTAGATGGGCTGAGGCCGGGGTTTAGTTTAGGAGTTTAGGGTCTTACAGCTGAATACTTTGGAGAACAGCAGGTGCATTCCGCAGCCGGAGCATGCACAGAATTCCCGAGAGTGCAGTGATAAAATGGCACAGCAAAGCTGATCGTACTCGGAATCATGTGCAGGCAGCGATCTGGATTGTCACACATCACAAACAGAGACAGAGACAGAGACAACCCCACCCACCCACCTAGCCATGCACCCACCAACCCACCCACCCACACCAGTACCCACACCTACACCTACACCTATACTTACACCTAAATCTACACCTACGCCCACACCTGCACCTACACCCACACCCACACGCTCCAACACAGACCCTTACACACCCACACACACCCCACGCAGGCACCCACACCCACACTCACCCACACACTCACACACCCACGCACACCCACGCACACGCACCCGCATTCAGGCACACAAGCGCACGCCCACACACCCCCACACACCCCGACACACACCCCGACACACAGCCCGACACACACCCCGACACACACACACACACACACACACACAGAGAGACACACACGCACACAGACACACAGACACACACGCACACAGACACACAGACACACACACACACACACACAGACACACAGACACACACGCACACAGACACACACGCACACACACACACACACACACACGCACACAGACAGACAGACAGACAGACAGACAGACAGACAGACAGACAGACAGACAGACAGACAGACAGACCGACAGACGGACGGACGGACGGACGGGCGGACCGACGGACAGACCGACAGACAGATACTGAACTTTCGCGTGGAAGCGCTCATCCATAGCACTACATGTGAAAATCCCTCTGATCGATGGCCCACATGAATGGCACGATGTTCCAGTACAAGACTACAAAATGGTTGTAACGCATGTTCTGCATGTGGAACATAAGACATTAAAAGGCTACATTCGTTCTCTAAGTTTTCAGAAAATTTTATATTTAATTATTATATATGTATATATATTATATCATAATACCATCATTTCGATATAACGATCCATATAAATTCATAGATTCCTTCTAGATATTTCATTTGCCGCGAAAATACGAATATAGAAATACCCATTCCTGGCTAAGATCGACGATATCTCAAAATGCGCACGATCTCTATAAAAAGTTCATTAATAACGCTGATCATTTGCACTACGCCACAGCATCAGCGCCACAACGCGCATGAAGACAGCACCAGCGCCGCGACATGCAACATCCCGAAAGGGAACTCAACGGCACAAACACAAACGAGCGCTACACCACAACACCGGCGCCGCGAAACGCAACATCCCTGAAGAAGGTTCATCCAATCTAGTTTGCGCCGCATCACAGCGCCAGGCCCGCGATACGCAGCGCCACGAGCGGGTAGCGCCCGTCGCGCTGGCCCTTCGACCAGCAGTCGCGGCTGATTTGGAACGCACTTCCGTTGCCCAGGATGGGCTGGGCGGACAGCGGGCTCTGGCTGAGCAAATTTCGGATAATCCCGGGCGTGAACTGGCTCTGCACGAGATTGAAAAGTGCGCTGGTGACGAAGCACCGGTCGGATTCGCTGTTGGACCAGCAGTCGCACGAGATCTGCTGCCGCGTGGAGCCGTTACAGAATATGTTGGCTCCTGCGAGCGGCGGTGGAGCAGAACGTTCCGGATGATGGGTCCCACCAGTCTGAGTATAAATGGCCCCTCCCGTCCCTTGCAACGTGCCTTCAGCACTGCAGTTCGTGATGCTGGTGTTGCCACCCTGTTGCCAGAAGGCCTTGCTCTTAATTGCGCCTCCTTTGATGGATGGCTTGCCCTTGTTATTGCAGTCGCGGATGGAAAGGCTTCCGAAGTTCACGATCAATGTACCCGTCACCTCGAGGCAGCCAAAGCCTTCTGCAGTTGCCCATAAAGAAAGGCTACCTGTGAATTCTACAATCTGCGTGTCCAAGGTCAAGGTCTTGCCCAATGCCAAGAAAGCATCATGCGCAATGATTTTGCTACACTTGAATCCCTTCCGCTTCTTCAGTTCATAGCTGCCTCGGAGTGTCAACACCCCACCTGGGCACTCCACCTTACTCAAGTCCTTTGGCATCTCTGGGACATCTAGGAAGCTAGAGCCTCCTGTTGCCGAAGACGAAACGGGCCCCTCAGCCTCGTGCTCCTCAAGGCTCTCCTGGTGCGCATGGACTGACATGCCCTGCAGACTGCTTTCTGCCAGCTGCGGAGGCACAGTCCAAACGTTTTCCTGTGCATCGTGTGGTTGGCCGCGGTGCAGTTGGATCGGCAACTCCAAATTCATCGGCTCCGACTCCGCTCTGCGTGCCGCAACCACGGAACTGCATGGAAAGAGAAACGCCCAAAAAACATAAAGAATCATCCTCCGGCTGCAAGGCCACGCACTTCATATCAAGTGCATGGCACAAGTAAGTGAATTCTAGCAGACAACGAGCCAGATGATGGCCTCATGCGTTTATGCATTAACCAAAATCCTCAATGTCAGCAACGCAATGCCTGGCAACTGCAACTGTGACATGCCAGGTTGAAGAAACTCTCTTCTCGACTGAATGTAGAGTCGGATGCCATGTATTTCACATGCTCCACAACATCCATTCAATCGCCTCTTTTTCTGTGGCGGTCACCATCCATCCTCGTCGAGGCTTGAATGTTGATCCCTTTATCCTGCGCATTCTCCAAGCACAGGTTTCAAGCCTCCGAGATCCTCTGAGCTTCAACCTAACTACCAATGTCAGAGTACGAATTCTCCGGCCATGCAGTAGCCCTCGAAGCCGTCTCAAAAGCACAAACTCGCGTGCTCTTCCAATCTACTCTGATGAACTGCGCTCGAGAGCCAGACAACCACAAACATGCTGCGAGTGCCAAGTCAGTCCTACATGGTTTAGGACCTGTGCATGCTGCAGGCCAGTTTCAGCCTACCTGTGCAGCATGTGCAGCCAGGTACCATGATGAGTTGCCTTGATTTGCCTTTGGGCATGTGCTGCATGCACGCGCACCCTTGGGGTGTCACGTGCGGTGCGAATTAGGTGCATGTTTATTCTTGCTGATGCCTCTTGCATTCTCCGTATCGTACATCGCCTGCGACCGACTTGCTCTACATCGAGCTCGCTAAACTCGTGCCTTAGACTGTGATGGCTACACCTCACTACTCAAGTACCGTCACTGTGAATCTAGCTGCGTCTAGCCTGAGTCTTCCCCGAACCCCTCAGGATGCTTCACCTTCGCGGAGAATTTCAGCCTCTGCCTCGGGCAGGGCAACTGCGCAGCTTGGGATTTTCATTGCCTCCTGGGGTAGTACGGGGGTCCGAAATACTCTCAAAGGCTGATTTTCTGAGCTCCTGTCGGTACCATATATGCACCCAAAAAACCTTCCTTGATAAGATCCTGTCATCTGTCAGATGATACGGTTCAGGGACCTGCGTTTGGCAGAGTTCCGTGAGTGAACAGCAAAGCTACGGACCCAAGTCGCACGCAAGTAAAACAAGAGACATCTCGAAATCTCTGATGCATGCACTGCGCACAAGAGACCGCAAGGATGTTTTGAGATAGTTCTCAGGTCTTGGCCATGGCGAACTTTAGTGCCAGGGGCTGGACCTTGGTGCCAGGTCCTTTCAGAATAGCTGCCAAGGGGTAAAATCGCTGGGGCCAGATCTTCTTGTGGCTTGCAGCCACAGCCTGCATGCAGCGGCCACATGTCTGTAAGATGCTACGAGTAGGAACATCCGATGCTTCAAGGCATACACAAACCCTCACAAGCTTGGCTAGAAGACGACAATTCCGATCCCTCCGGGCCTTGCTGGTCAGAAATTGCTTTAGTCAAGGGTCGGGCACATCCTGAGGCCACTTCCGTTGCAGGTGCTCAACTCTGCCATTCCGTGACACATTGCCTGCTCCAGGTCGTCTTCCCCTAGCCTGCCAGTAACAGGCTTTTTCTCTCGAATCTCTTCATGCCTCATGAGGTTTATCCGGGTCTCTTGCAGCTTCCGACATAGGAGGCCACAGCATCCTTGCTCGGATTCGCCCGACACATCCAAAGGACGTTGGCCCAATTCTGAGACTTCGACCCAGCTAAAGTGCGCTGCTTGATCAACCAGAGCTCAGCTTGAGAATTGCCGATGTCAGACCTTTCGCAGTGCTTGGACATACTTAGACCCGCCAAGACGGAGCGCCAGGTCGCCGACTTTTCCCATCCACCGGCTTTGCGACTCCTGCTGATGCCACTCGCGGGCCTGAGGTGCAGGAAGCAAGGTGGACGAGAAGGCGTGAGTGGATAGCAAGCGGCGTCCTCAACCGCGAATTTCATTCGGAGCCACGCCGATGCAACGCTAGACGCTTCAAAAGGACTTCGCCAACTTCCACCGGCCTGCTCCGGCCAGGCATTTGCCTCGCCATCGACGCTGACTTGATCTGACGCGGCCTCACGAAATCACACCGAATCACGAAGTATCATGGATCCACGGCCCAGGTGGTCAGAACTGGAATCCTCCGGCGCCTGATGGCGACCACCCGCGGCTCTCTCGGCTGAGCCAGCAGGGCCGGTGAGCCTCGGCAAAGCTCATGTCAATGCGCCTGCGAAAGCTCGCAGAGAAGGTCCCCGACTCATCGGTCGCGTGGGCTTCCCATCTTTTTCCTGGCGAAACACGCTGGAGCAAGCTGGAAGCCTTCTCACCGTTCTCCAGAACATGCCAGCAAGACCAGCAGCGAACGAGCTGCAAAAACTGCACTTCCGCGCGCTGCAGCGGCAGTCTCCTCCGAAGTAGTCTCCACTGCGACCTGTCACAAACTCCATCTGTGAACATCTCAGGCACGGTGGGTGCTGGCCTCCTCCGAAGCAGGCATCTCTTGCCCCGCAGCCTGACAGGCAGACACGACCGTGCCTGAACAAGTCTCCGCACTCGCAGAAAGCAACACTGCGCAGTGCAGGAACTCCCTTCCTTTTCTCCTCCCATACCTCCCAGCATCAATCGGCCATGAGTCTATCGCGAACCTGTCCTACCAGTCTACAAAAGCGCAGCCACCTTTCGAGCGGACATAGACGATGTGAGGATTGATTCCCACATCCTCGTATGCCTTACGGATCGCCTGGGAGTGACGTGCCCAGGCTGCCTCATCAATTTCGCAGGGCCCATCGGCATTGCAACTCCTTGCCCTTGCCTTGTCTGTTAGAAATGCCACCCAGTCCAAGGAGGGAGGGAAAAAAGGTGTCGCAGATTTTGAGACTTGCCCGGGACTGAACCTTCCGATTGCCATCCAATCCTCGATGCGATCAGCAGCAAACTCTCGTAACGAAACAACAGTCAAGTCGTACATCGGGCTGTTCTGCAAATACCACAGGAAGTGGGGAGCGCCGGGCTTCAAGACATTGTCAGCACAAATGACACACTTGTCTTTCAGCAATGATGCGGCTTCAAGCATCTGCAAATCCGTGTGGAACCTCGTTCCGCGTTGATCGAAAAAAACCGCGTCCGCGGCCGCACCACCACATGTTTCTTTCAAATGCGGGATAACATCCTCGCTGTAGCCGATGCAAATGGAAACCCGGTCTGCAACACCTGCAAACTCAACCACATTTCTTGCAATGCATGCGTGAATGGGGTCCACCTCGATAGACACTACTTTGCCACGAACCAGCTGGTAGGCCATCCTCGTGCATGAGTATCCAACGAAGCAGCCGAACTCCAGTACAAGCTCCACGGGCTGAGGAGCCAATTTCGTGACCAGATCATCCAAAACGACACCCTTGCCGCCACCTGCAATTTTTAGCCATCCATTCCCATCAACCGAGAAGTTTTCGATAGTGTTGACGACGGACACCGGATCTCCTTCCCGAGCCGTGCAGAGCACATGTTGCAGCAACCTGCATTGCTTGTCATAGTCTGTGCCAGAGTGTCCGCTCCCTCTGACTGGCATGGTCCAGTGAGGCAATTGGAGCTGCCCAAACATGCTCTTTGTCTTTGCGAAGACTCCATGTGACAACTTGGTGTTAATGGCCTTGGTGACAGGGTTGGCCTCGATGCTGAGCAAGCTTTGAACCAAGGATTCGCTTTCAGAGCACCATCCGGCCTCTGCCAAGCGCAAGGCACATGAGTTGAGAATAGCTTGTTGGATGTATCGGCACGGCTGAAACCGCGACAGTACATCCATCGCTTGCATTTCTCTTTCCATGGATGGCTGCAGGTGCCGGCAGTGATGCAGCCATGCACCAAGCGCAGTTATTCCCGGATCTAAACCCAAGCGACGCATGTTGTCAAAAAGCTTCCAAGCGCAGCTCACCTCCCCTGCCGTTAAGAAGGCCCGAACAAGCATAGCTATGACCTTGTCATTGTAGGTCATGAGGCAGTGGTCCTTGTCAATACTGCTTTCGAGAGCGGCGTAGAGGGAGCGGACGGAGGTCTTCAGATACGCGGCTCCCCAAGCGCTCTGCCCGAGACTCTGGGGATCGAAGAAGTCCATCTGCTTTTGAGCTGCCGACGCGATTAGATCCGTTAGGTCTCTGTCAGAATACACCACGGTGGCAAGTGCCCATATGCTGCAAGACAGGTCCTGCGGAGCAAATGTCGAGATGGACTTCTTCACACTTGACCCGATGGCATGGAAGAAGGGCGCATCCTGGAAAAGAACGGAAGCCAACGCCCAGAGGATGTTCGAAGCGTGCTGCGACTTGATGGGGCGATCGTGCAGCTTCAACATCAGCGCAGACTTAAACGACTCCACGAAAAGGTCATCTCGGTGTAGCATAGTGCTGAAGGCCCAGAATGTTGTTGACAGATCCTGCTCAGACATTCTGTCAATCTTGGTTGCAGCAGCCTCCTGAAGTATTGCAATCATACTCTCACTCTGATAGCCAAGTTTAGCATATGCCCAAGTAAAGTTAGCCATGCTTTGGCAGCTGAACTCACTGTGTATCTGCGAGGCTCGCAAGGCAATGCAAGCCACTGCAGGACTGTCACACAGAATCACAGCTTGAGACCAGATGAAGTTCGCCAGCTCCTGCGGTTTAAACTCCTGAATACGGGCTGGAAGCGACAAGCTGGAGAAGTCAAACCAAGGCTTGTCCTGGAGCTGAAGGGTCGCCTTACATGAGAGCCGCACCCGTCGTATTCTGTGGACCCCAAAAGGAGACGAGTTTCGGGTCTTACGAGTAGGTCACTTTTTGACAAGTGATCGCACAAATCCCTCAAGCTTTTCATCGGAGCCATTGAGTTATTTCGCCAGCCAAGTGGCCAAGGACCAAACAGTGTTGGAGAGGTGTTGCGGCCGCAGCGGTGACAGCTGTGCAATTGCCTCCAACCGCGGCCGGCAAAGCTCCCAGAATGTCTGGCAGCAGTAGTCCATAGTCGCACAGGCCCAAACCATGGTTGTAAGGTCCTGCGTTTCTTCTCTGATCTTTCGTTAGTCGAGCATGCTTTACAACTCTGAACTGCAGCATGATTTGACTCATGGGACAACCCGGGATCCTGTGCAGAGAAAGCATGTAACTTGTCCATGGAGAACTCCAGCACCGCTTCAGTTGCACTGCTATTTCTGTGCCCGATCTTCGCATAGGCCCAGAGGAGGTTTGAAATGTTCTGAGACCTGAACTCAACAAGTATCTCCAAGGCACGAGAAGCAATGCTCTCGACCAAGTCATGGTGATGAATATCAAGAATGGCCATGGCCCAGAGCGTGTTAGCACACTCTTGAGGTTTGAAGTCAACGACGAAGCTTCCGGCGTAAACGTACGTGACCAGATGCGTGGCTTCCGTGAACCCAAAACTCAGTGAAGCAAAGGCCCACATCATATTGGCTGCATCCTGACACGACAATGCCTGAGCCTCGGCTCCAGACGAAAAGCGCTCCACCGTCGTCGACAAGCTGCAGAGGAGAGGATCTTTGTACCTCATAGTAGCAAAAGACCATAAAAGGTTCGACAGCTCCTGGGGTTTGAACTCGTCAGCGCGACCCTGTGCAAGCTCGGCAATCTTCGTCATGAAAGGAAGACTCGTTGATGAGATGTTCGCCATCGACCAGGCCATGTTCGCCAGGTTGCGAGCTTCCCCCTCAGCTAGTTGGTCGTATGCAAGGACTTGCAGATGCTGCCATCGACTGTCACTCACATTGGGCTTCGGAGCGCCCTTCTTCACCTTCCCGGCAAGAGCATGCAAAGCCGTGGATAGCCCAATGCTATCCCAGGATGCACCACGCTCGGAGGCAAGCTCCAGGATTCCGTTGGGGTCTGCCTGGCCACGAAGTTGATCCCGCAGCAATCGATTTCGCCGTCGGTTCTCCCGTTCGTAGTACGACACAGGCTCTAGAAGAGCCCCTGCTTCGCCTCCGTTTTGCTGAACATTGTCCGGAGAAACTCGGTCGCGTGGAGCAGCATAGTAGGATACCATGCGCAGGTGAAGCTGACATCTGAACACCAAGCGTGTTCGCTGACGCTGACTGTCTCAAGATTTGCCAGTGGCCGACCAACCTCTTCTCCCGGCAACAACAAGGATGCATGGCGGAAGGGGTCTGAAAGCCGCAAGTAAAGTTCAAGACCTAGGAACCTTGAACTCGGAAAGTCACTTCCCAGCCGTGAACAGGACCAGACGAAACACTTCACGCTCACGTGTCTCGTTAGCTTGTCTTGTGCATGGGTGTGTTTTTGCAGGGTCGGTGCCAGCTTGTGTATGGCTTGTGCGGCTTGTGCTTTGTCTTTGGAGGTGGCTCGAAGACGCATAAGCCTTTGCAGCCAGCACAACAAGAATTCTAGTGTCTTCTCGAGCAGATTAGGATATGCAGTGTTGCTATGCGCCTCAGGAGGAGATGGAGAAACTTGTGGAACAACTCGTTCTCCAAACTGTCCGAAGCAAGATCAAGCTGATCCGTGAAAGTGGCTCCATGAGTCATCACTAGGGCTGCTCAACTGTCAAACGCGGATGAGCAGTGCCTGCACGAGCTCCAGCGCAAGGGGTGGAACGCTCTCTGGCCGAGGGCAAGAGCTCCACCGTCGCCTGCGAGCAACAGCGCAACAGCAGAAACACTTGGTGTCCAAGGCTGAAATCTGAAACTGCCCTCTGCAGTGCTCTCATGTGCCTGGCTGTCACTCCCGTGGCTGCTTCACCACCTCCATGCAAGACTGATACGCATTCCGGGAGAAACAGCTGCATTTTTCAGGAAAAGCATGCACTATCATGCATTCGCTTCACACAAGGCCTCTGCCCCGTTCTGCAATGGCCTGCAGTTGCTCTCACGGAGCGTGCAGCTATGTGCAGCTTGTGCATGGCGTTTTCTGCCTGCACGGTCGCTCGCCGCCGCAGTGCCTCGGAAGAAGGCGGGAGTGGCGAGCGGTTGACCGCCTGGCAGGCACACATTTGCTGGAAACTTCGCCAGGCCTTCCCCCTCCATGCATCGCGCACCGGCGGAACGCCGCGCGGCTGCGTCGATCGACCTGGCATGAAGCGCTCGCACCCTCCCACAACATCTCTCACGATTGAGCACGTCTGGGTCGCGCCTGAGCCTGCTGTTTGTGGACGTGGTCTCCTGTGGTAACTTAACTTGCAGTGGCAGGAAGATGTGTCCGGCTGGCGACCGGATGCCTTCTCTGAGCCAGCCCTGCCACCGTGGACTGGGCCAGGAATGACTTCGCCTGCGATCTGCGACCAGTCGTTTCTTTGTTGGAATTCTGTGGCTGTGGGATTGTGGGGAATATGACGCAGAGAGCTTGCTGCGCGCTGCGAGTGGACCGGCACCTTCGTTTGAAGGCAGAGCACTGCGTAGATCTCGCCGACAGCCGCCTGCAGAGGGCAACGGCGTCAGCCTAAGTCCTAAGTGCATTGCGTCGAAAGGCCACAACACTCCTTTTTGGAACATGCTGCATTTGGCAGGGCACGTGCTCATGCCCTCTAGCTCACACAGCAGAGCCACTCATGGCGCCGCGTGTGTGTTGCATTATCATGGTTGGATCCGTTCCCATGCCTTTGGCAAGGAGCTGGTCGTTGACTAAAGGATTAAACATTGACCATGCGCGGAGGCTGACGTTGTGGAGGCCAAGGCAACATGAGCTGTCTTAGCAAGGCGCAACATGCGGTCCTAGACAGGGCTTTCCAATCCAATCTCAGCGCTGGTGAAAACGTTGCTGACCGTGCAGATGCATCACTGTAGAACACAATAACGACTGGACGAAATACTAGCGCCGTCACTCTTCCCACGCCGGTTGAGGACGACCTGATTACCGAGTACACAGCTGGCTCAAGGACGAAGTGCCTCCACAAGCTCTAACCATGCCAGCGATCCAAGCGCTTCAGCGAAGCCTACTCTAGGAGTCTAGGAGACTATGAGGCCTGCATCAGTTCAATGTGAGAAAACTGGATTGTCACTGCAAAGCGGAAGGCACCCAGAGACAGGCTCCCAACCAACGATAGCAGCGAGAGTCGCAGGTGACTCGGGAGCCAGGACCGGCCTGGGACAAGAAAGAAAATGTAGGATACCAATACGATTTTGGGAGTTCCTGAAGAGATATAGTTCTAGGATAGTATTCACCAAGATCCTGTTCTCATTATTGAGATGCATCGGGTGCGGCATCACCTGATTCGCACGTTCTTGCCTCGCTGTGGGGCTTGGTGCGATCCTGTCGTGCCCGTCCTCGCCGCGAACGCTCGAAGCAAAACGAAATCCGAGCGATATTGCATGCGAGCTCTGTAAAAACCTGAAGAATCGCAAAGAGCAATTCGCACAGTCCCAGAATTCAGTTCAAGAGAAAATCCGTGCGGTGGAGTGTCCTGCGCAGCAGCCTCTTCTGCACCCTGTGAGGAAACAAGCACTCTGAGATCCGACCACTCGCAGAGTTTCACGACAGCAGAGTTTCACGATAGAAGCTTTGTCAGAGTTATGTCTGGGGCCCCAGCGCTTGGAGGCTGTGTCGCTGTGGGGTCCGCTTTGCCTCGTCCGCTGCTTGGGCTCGAAACGCAGCTGACATCCAACCGTGCAAAGTCGAGAGACTCTGCGCTGAGAGCACGTCTCGGTCTCTCTGAGTTCTCAGCAGAGGGGACAGGATCTGGGCATGAACCGATTGGCAGAAAACCAATGGTCGATACAGGCCTTATGGCAGACACTTTCCACACTGGATGTCACGAAGCTGTCAGAGCCTGGTGAAAGAAATGTCGACAGGGAAGAACTCTGAGCATATCCTGTCTCTGTGCGCATGCTGTAGAGTTGACAGATCTTGAACGTGCAAGTTGCCCAGAGTGGCCTCCTCCGTGTATGGCTCCAGACAAAGGCAGCACTCGTCGTTTGAGCGCTTGCCAACCTGACGATCTGGTTAAAGGATCCCAAGCACGTGAGCTACAAACATTCCAGGCAGAGGCACCTCCAGCTCCCTGTCCTTCCACATTTCCAAAGGCAGCGCCTGCGGCTTACTCTGCGCTGGATTGATTCTGTCATGCAGAGGCTGAGGCATTGAAACAGGTGTGCCGAGGGCGTTTCGGTCCTGCAACGATGCCACCACCTGCTGCTCTTCTGCCTGTGCCTCGATTCGATATGTCGCAGGCTTTCAAAAGTCAGATCTCACTGGGAGGAGGCTCTGTATAAGGGCCCTGTAGGGGCCCCCACCGCTTCGCTGTCCCGGAACCGTCGAGCCTGCGGTCCACATTCCAGGTCAGTCAGAAGCTTCAGAGTACAATCATGTTTAGCCTCACATTTCTGCACGCTTCAGCAATAGAAAAAAAACGCACCATCTACGACAGAACTCTGAGCCGCTTCCTGAGACCTCACAGCTTCCTCTGGCTACATGCAACTCGGAGTCCAGTGACGCAGAGCCTGGAGCTCGGAGCGGACCATCAGCTGCGACTCTTGCATGACCAAGTCCTGGTTTAGCGTTTAGGGTTTAGGGTTACTGAGAACAATGCACCACAGGTGCCTTTGTATAATGCTCACAGCACATCAGGAGCGAACATCAACCTCTCCTGATGTCGCCGAGCCTTGCAGTAGCACACCATGTACACCTGAGTGATGTCACACTCTGCCATGCTTGAACAAACCATTGAATGATTGGAAATTCGAAACACAGCAATGTAGCACCCGTCCACTCAATACTCACATGGCAATGTGCACATGCGCCGCTGAGGACACCGCAGGCATGAGCGATATGGCGAAGCCAAGGACTATAAAGGCTGCAAGAACCTTACGCAAACTTGCTGAACCAGGCTGCATGTTGGAAACTTCTACAGCCCTAGGCCCTAGGATTCGATCCAGGACTGAAGCGCTTGTCAACTCTTCGAATGGAGAGAACTTGAGTGTCATCCCGCTGAAGAGCTCAGTGAATGGAAGTGAGCCCGCCCTGCTTCTGCGAGTCGCCTTCGAAGTCCAGACCCGTTCCCTATTGAACCGTTGCCCAAAATCACCTCACAACCTGCCACTGTATTGCATGCCATTGCTACGTTGCTCCCGTAGTGGTGCAACTACTGCATCTGCATGCGACCCCAAGGTGTTCTGAGGCACTTGCGCAGGCATAGCCTACCTCAGGATCACTTCTCATCGCGACCGACAACAGCGACGGAAGCATCACTCGTTGGCTCTTAGCTAAGAGTCTGGCAGGAGAGAACCAGGTGTCTCCCAGTTTTGTACCGTATGGCCTGACAAAGAATTCGCTCCGAGCTCTTATTGAAAATCTGGTTCGGCACGCCGTCCTGCAAGAGTACCGCAGCCGAATTCGTGTCCTTGCGACAATCAAGACGGCGCACGGAAGCAGCGCTTGGAACTGCCCCCTCTCGCCATCCGCAATCGGCTCATGGTGCAACCAAGGCTCTCGTTGGAAACCGCACTGAGAACGAGCAGAGCTTCCGAAGTGCCGGTGAGCGCCTCGGAGCACAGACACACACCTTCTTCCCAAACAGCGCAGGCGCGCAGACTCAGACGATACCTTCACGCAACAAGTCGGGTGAAGTAGGATGCCAACAGATGCCAAGGCTGGAGTGACTAGAGCATGCCGATGACTCTGATTCGTTGCTAGTCGAGGTCACTTGCTTTCCTGGGGTCTAACGAAAAAGGTGCGTGCCCAAATTGCGTGTTGATTCGCAAAGACATCCTCCATCCGTGACAGCTGCGGAAAGTATCCAGTGAAGGAGTGCGTGGATGTGCGTGCCCGGCTAGGTTGTCCACCATCGCAGCAGGCAGCGGATTGCCCCGATGAAAGGTAGCAACTCTCGTGGAGGAATGCACCTGCCCTGACCTCATCAGGTGCAAATTTGTTGACAGCACGTCATGCACACAGAGTATGACTGCACCAGGGTTGAGGATGAGACCCATATATGACAAGAGCGTCATAGCCTGCCATCCAACGACTGAGACCCGAAGCAAATCACTAAGCATCCGCTGAGCAGCACCCTGGCCTGAGAACGCTCCATCACCAAGAAGGGTAAACTCGATGGCCTTCCGGGAACAACAAATCGTTTTGGGGCCCCTGTTTTCCTAGAGACCTGGCCTGTAAGCTCAAACTTGGATAGATGTGCCAGGCACAGCTGTTTTCCCTCCAGGCGGATGCATGGCACTGTGGCTAGCGGCACAGCTATTCAGGCGGCCTTGAAGACCCCAGCGGCTCGCCAACTCCGGAAATCTCACCTGCACGATCGCTCGAGCGAAGCAGGGGGGAAATGGGCGTCACATGCCTTCCAAATCACGAAGTTGTTCGACACCTTGCCAGACACAAGTGAGTCAAGGTGGCTGCACCTCTTGCCATCTTGCTTTTGCAGTCTGCAGTCTGCGTGTTGCTCCTTCTGTTCTGCCGAGACCCTGGCGGCAATAGACAGACTGAGCGCGGGCGACTGCAAGGAAACCTTGGAAGATCTTAGCTGAGACGAAGGGGCTGAGAAACTTGCTGAAGTACAATGTAGCACGAGGCACCCCAAATATGGACCCGCCGATGCCATTGGATCACCTCGATACCGTGGCAAGAGATGGCAAGTAGCCTGTTTGGGATGTCGATGTTTGCAAATGACTCGGGCTCTGAGGGAACAGCACTCATGCCACCATGGCGGTCAAGTTGATGCAGCCATAGCACGTTCAAGAGGCATGTGCACCATGAATTCTACAAGGCAATTGTGTCATGCCTGCTTTCTGTTGCGATCTGTACAGGTTCGTACAAAAAACGCGCATGTGTCTGCTTCAAACACATATTGGAGACACCATTCCCTTCTCATGCAAACAGCTTGCAGAAAAAAGGCCACAGAAATCCTAGGCCTAGGCCCTAAGCTGATAACATGATGAGAGGGCATTGTTTGACCACTGCACACCCACTTGCAAGTTCCGGGTAAACTGCCTCATGTATTCTGTCAGAACTGGATACGATCAAACACGCCTTCAGCCGCAGCATGGCCTGCGCCTGGCAGAATGCTCACAAATAAGGAGTTCTTGCATCTAAAACACACTCTCCACATAGACGCCCCCAACCTTCTGCAGCAACTCCGGCGGGTCAAGCGTGTTGGCCAGGCGCGATCGAAGGAGAAGACACTCGGTACGTTCGGACGGCTCCGTGGGTGCCAGCTTTGCTCAGTTCGCTGCTGCTGGGGCTGAAGGAATTCTGAGATGCAGGCCGCCTGGAGGTGCGCATCCGGCACTTCTACGGTCGGGCATTCGGACAAGCTTGGATGTCCAGCTGGGGAAGCCTGCGGAACCCAGCAATCCAAGTGGGCATGAAATGTGGATCTGAGTGCAGCTTTACGTCTGACATATCAACAATCGAGCGTCCCGGCCTCAGCATGTCCGCGCTCGGGAGAAGCGACGCGGACAGGGCTCGGCCTCGACGTGCTCTCCCAAAGCCTCCTCTCACGCTCTCACCCTCCCAATCCCTCCCACCACTCCGAGGTCTGGGCTCTTCTGGCACCTGCAGGAGAAAAAAAGCTTCCTTCGGACAATTTCGGACTCTGCTGGCAAACGCGCGGCCTGGACAGGGCTCGTCACTGGACTGCGAGATCTCGCAGCCGTCTCCAAGCAAACCTGTCACTGGTTCGTAAAACCCCCGCCGGACAACGCAATACAAACTTGGAAATCGCCTCCAGCTGACGGCGAGTTTCCTCTACAAGACTTCAGTCAAGAATCACGTGATGAATATGCCGTGCAAACTCGAGGTCAACAGAGAAGAGTGCACGACAGCGCATGTCCTCCATGCACCTCTCTAGCGCAAGCAGCCTGTCGTCGTGCTGGCAACCGACCTGGCACGAGGCACGCTGACTGGCAAGAAGTTCACCGGGAAAGAGCCGGCTTCTTGGAGTTTCCAACCGTCCCCCCTGCAGCTCCGAATGTTCATGTTCGTCGCGATTAAGTTGCCGTGGTGTTGATGATGGTGGTAGTGCTGGCGCTCTGGCGCTGTGGTGCTCTGGTACTCTGGCGCTTTGGTGCTCGTGCTGTGGTCCTGGTGCTCTGGTGCTGATGCTGGTGCTGTGGTCTTGGTCCTGTGGTGCTGGTGCGGCTGGGGGCTGAGGGTGGGCGGGTTGGGCTGGGGTTGGGGGAGTGATCATTGAGTAGAGTGTCTTTTGGCATTTTAATAGGGTGCGACGTACAGTAGCAGTTGTCCTCTGCCCGGATTTGGGTCCTACTTCAGGTCTTGCCTCAAGAGCACGGGAACAAATCTCACGACCCAAAATACCCGCACGGCCCGCACTACCAAGAAGGCCGTGGCACAGCCGGGCAACGGACTTTATCAAGCTTGTAACGTCCATCCCATTGACATGTTCATCGCGCAAGCGTCTCTCCACGCCAGATTACGTGGCTTGTTCGCAAAAGGCTCACCTGACACTTTCAACTGGCGCTGCAAGCTGCTGCGGATTGGAGCTCAGACAGATAGCAGGCCAGGCCAACACTTGAGCGGGGTATACTAAGCAAGCGTGCGGATTTTTGCCGGCAGGTCCGGATTACGCAACGCTACCTCTCTGGCAATTTTAGATTGTTCTCAGTCCTTTCTGCTAGACAGGATCCCTGTCCACGACTTGTCGTGCTTGCTTACCACCGTCCGCCGCATATATAGAGCCCAAAAGGCCACTACGGTCAGTATCAGTTTCCTTGGGAAAACGCACAGCGAAGTAGGCGACCAGTGACCGAGAGCGATTGAACGATTACTTGTACCAGCGAAGTCTCGGCATGACGGCGAAACCCGTGCGCGGTAATTCTGGCAAGCCGCCTCGGCTTCCTCGGCCGGAATACCACCTTGCCTTATGCACTTGCGCATGGGTGGCCTTCAAAACATCCGCAAAGCATGCTGAGGACCGGGCTGGGAGTGGTTGGCCTAGCGGCGCCAAAAAAAGCCCGAGCGCGAGTCCCGTCCGCCGGTTGTTGAGAGCCGAGAGAGCCTTGTGAGCCTCCTCTGGAACAGCCAGAATGCCACGACGTGCATGTCTGCCTCGATCAGTGGCACAGAGGAGTGAATCTTCTTCTGCTTCTCGGACGTGCATGCCGCTGAAGGCACCTTGGGGGGGACTTCGCGATGCCGTCGATGCTGGCGATGCGGCGAGGGTTGGCAAACAGGCCTCCGAGGAGAGACTCGCAGCTCAGTAGCTGAAGTCTGATCTGGGAGTTTCCGAACATATGGGGGGGGGTACCTCCTTATTCTAGGGTCCTTATACTAGGTATCCTACTATTTAGGGTACTATATTAGGGTCCCCTATTTTCGGAAATCCCCATCTAGTGCACAGCTTGCACCCCTCCTGGACAGCTGAAAGGAAAACTTCGCCGGCAGGGTGCCGCCAAGTGTGCACAGGCTCCTTGCCCACGTCTCCTGGACATGCTCGGGAACTACACAGTAGCAGGAAGTAAAGCAAAAGTCGTCTTTGCACCATGGTCGGCATGTGATGGGGCCTGTGGCTCACTTCGAGATCAAGGCTGTTCGGGTCCCTATAGCTTGGCAAGTACCGGATGATTAGCCCTGGACCCGGATCAAGACGGATCTAGACAAACAGCTAGACAAGCGTGTGGAGACGCTTTCGGCACTTCCGGTGGTTGGCTTCCCTGGCTGCTCGGCTCCTCGCAGAGGAGAGGGGCTCGCACACTCAGGCGCCGGAGACGGAGCGCGTTGCACCTCGTCAGAACAGCATCTTTCAGTTCAAGAAACATTGCTAGTGACTTCAGGGCTCGGAGGCGGACGCTGGAAGACGAAGGGTGTGGGGATGTGACCTCCTGTCCGCAGGCATGCAACTTTTTTCAACTGCATGGTCGCGCGAAGACCCAAGCCGCTGTTGCGGATCGGGACGGCGCAGTTCTTGCTTCGGCGCTTGGGATCCCCACCTTCTCGATGTGCTGCCGGGCCTGCAGCGCCTGAAGAAGAAGCAAGGCGGAGGAACCCGGTTTGGGGCACGAAAGACGCCTCCTCCGCTGCTTGCTGGTGCTCCTGCGCGGCCCGCCGAGCCTGCAGGGGCCAGGATCTACTGGATCATACCGGTGTTACAGCCAGCTAATGCTGCAAAAGCTACCGGCGACCTCCTCGAGATCATCAGAGAGTTCTTGCTGCCGAGTCTGGTTCAGCTGCAGCTGCTCATCTTGCTGCTGAAGCCTCTCCTCAAGCTCGGCTATGGTGGCCTCGCTGGACGCAGCGAAGCTGAATCAGCTGACCAGCTCGAGGCTCCCACCTTCAAGTCTCTCACCTCCTTTTCAGCCCGCTGCCTGACAACGGACACATGTCTTGGGGTGGCGTGAGCTGCTCCAACCAAATCTCTTGTTGTATCAGATGATCTTTCAGACTTGTTGAGACAGAGGACATACAACGAACTTGCATGGTACATCATGTTACATTACACAGGCAATCCATCTGCGCAAGCAGCGCAAAGAATAGGTGCCGAATGCGAAGACTCAACCTAGCCTCTCCTCCTGCTCCTCTTTGGCAAGAGTTTGCTGCGGAGCTGCGAGGGCCTTCCAACGACAGAAAAAAAAAAACAATGTTACTCGGCGTCTCTGTGACGTTTAGGTCGTGCCTTGACCGGGCTTTCAGGTGCCAGGTCGAAGTGCACCGGACTCTGCGCAGTCTCCCTCGGCAGTTCGGCCAGCAGCGGACACTCGAACGGATGATGGGCCTATCCTCCTTCTTCCTGCTCCACGCTTCCGAAAGATGTCTCAGACTCTCTTGAAAAGCGCTTTAAGGGACGAAAACTAGATCCAAAGCTCATGCGATCACATGCGATCTCAAGTCTGATCAACGGGAATGTGTCGCTCAACCTCTTGCAACCTGCTTGTTGTCCTTGCCAACATACATGCTGAGGGTGCGATTGCATTCACCGCGATCAGCAATCCTAGACGAGGAGCACGGATGCTTGAATTTGCCTCCGGGACCTAAAATGCCTGTGGAGCCTGAGCTGCCACAAGGAGAGGGATCTGCCACAAACGTGGGAGAGTGCGGAAATCAGGGCAACTGGCTTCAATTGCTTGCATAGCTGATCCAGAAACCTGACTGATAGTACCCAGAGCCACCCAGCTGCCTGAGTCTACAAGGTATTGGCATCGCTGCTGTCGGCTCAAGTTGGCTCCAGCCATTGGGCTCGGAAGCAGCGAAATTTATGTACACAAAGGAGATGGGCTTCGCATGTCTTCACACAGTGATCTTTGCACTGGCAGATGTTGTTTTAGAGGTGTGAAAGCCTCGGTTCGAGGCAAAGAGACGTGAAGTCGGAAGCGCGGACACCGAAGAGACACAAACAGCAAAGAACTTGAACACTAAGACAGAAGCCTCTGCTTTCAGCGATGCGCCGGCGATATTCGGCAGCATACCGCCTCACGATCTGTCTACAAAGCCACGGGCTCCGCAGGGAACGGGTTGATCCGAGCACTCAGCTTGAAAGGCTCTTCCTCTGCGCGTGCCTGCGGTCCAGGCTCACCTGATCGGACGGCACGGCGGGTGCATCAGCTTAAAGATAAGGGTAACAGGGACGAGACCTTGACTTGGCAATTGTGACCAGGGAACAGACCTGAGGAGTACCGTTCAAGCGAGCCACGCACACTCATCGAATCAAAAGCAAACCTGGCGCCAGGCAGCAGGGCCATGGCATCTTGAAAATGGCCGTTCCTCGTGGGTGTAGGTTGGTAAAAAAGCGAGAAAGGCCACAAAAATCCAGTGCAACATAGCCGCAAGTTGGACCCAAAGTAAAAGGGCTTTCCACATGCCGCATCTCCCACCAAAACAATCCAGCCTGCAGGACGCGAGCACGAGGTGTCGATATCGTCGATGGAGGGGACAGAAGACACTTCGAAGACGAATCGTAGGTGTAGAGGCTTGCGGCTTGCGAGCTTAGCACCAGTCTCACACTGACTCTGCAACGCCAACCGAATTTAAAAACCAATGGATAAGTTTCGATTTCTGTCGTCTACATCTCCACACATCTACATAGACTAAGATTCTGCACGGTCTCACCAGCCACCTTAGGCCTTAGGTAATATTCATCAAGCCGAGCCATGGCCCGCCTGACCGGCTGCCACACTGCGCACGCCGGACCACCTCTTGGCCGAGAAAAGGAAATTTGGAACCTTTTGCAGCTGCTGTGCAGAGCATGTGCCGCATGTTTTTCGCAGTGCGCCTCGTTCGCGTGCCAGTAGGACCTGGTGCAACCAGTCTCACTTCGCGTCACTGCAGAAGTAAACACGTGACATCGCTTGGGACGACAGTGGCTGGGGTCTTCAGGCCGAGCGGCGCCAGGGTGAGCCGCGGAGCAACCTCGCAAGGCCTCCCGAGGCTTTACCACAAGGTGAGCCGACGAAGGCGGAAAGCAGCTGGAGCCTGAGCTGCTTGTCTAGATAGGTAAAAGCAGCCCGTAGGGCCGTGAGCAGCCTTGGTAACTGAGCCGCGATCTGTCCCTTCCCTCCGAGGCCTTATCCTCGAGGCCCCGACTTGCTCTTCCGACGAGGCATACCTTCTTTCCGGGCATGTGCGATCTTACATTTCCAGTCTCGGTCTGAGGAAGCGGCAGGTCAACACCTGAAGGAAGGAGGCCAGCTTCAGGCCTGCCACTTGCGGTGTCCGAGGACCACTTACGAGTACGTGCCTTCCAAGGCCTTGCGAGGCTCCAGACGCAGCGGCACCCTGCAATGGTCTCGAGTCTCGAGACTCTGCGCGACCACACGAGGCAAGCGATCAACTCAGGAGAAACCGTTCTCTGCTGCACAGCTCCTCCTGTGATGCTTGCAACAGGATTCCACGAAGATGACCTGACAATGAGAATTACAGCTTCAGCTCAGGTCTTGACGAAGTTCCTCCCGGCTCCGCACGAAGAATGTGGGGACTCAGTCCCAACACCCATAGCCAGCCCTGCAGCAGAAAAAAAGCACGGGAAAGGCGCGACGTCAAGAGAGACAGCACTTTAGCCACGCCATCACCAGACCTGCTCCTCACTCGTGCCGGGCCGGAGAATGTACATCGGAAGGTCCGGAGCTTCAAAACGGCCCACGGCACTTCGTACCTGGCAAACGGCCCACACAGGCCGCAGCTGATGCATCTGTTGTCGACTCATACCGATCTCAGCACCTCTTGCAGGGTCTTCGCGAGGTCTGTGGCGGGCTGAAGGACGAACTTCAGAATGAGCGCCTGCAGCAAAGGCCCAGGGACGACTTCAAGCTGTCGTCACATCCGAGGGGGGGCGTCCCCCACGACGAGGTTGTCCGAGATTGGACCAAGAAAGTGCACGCGCACGCACACAGAGACGTTTTCGATTTCCCGTGCATGGACCCCGTTTCAGTTTCCGAGCCAGGCAATGTCCGAGGAATGACGGACGAGGTCAGAAGTGGTGATCTCAACAATTCGTCCATAGCGGCTCTGCTGCGAAGAGAATAGTACACCGCAAGCCTCAGATGCCAAGTTGACATGTCCCAAGCGAATAGCCAAAGCCAGCTGCTCTCGAAAGCGAAGATGTTCAGTGCCACTTTCCTTCCGAGCGGCGCGTTCTTCCTTGGCCTGAAGATAATGAAGAAGCCGAATCCCGGCTGCGGATGTGCGATGACAGGGAGATGGACAGTTGGAGTCGAGCTTGGAAGCATGACCTCATGGTGGAGGCCCGCCCAGTTCGACACCAGCCCATGCCGGGTCACCATGGAGCTCCAGCAGTCAGGAACCTGATCGCATCCTTTAGTGAAATACCGGGACAGCGCCTTCCTAACCTGGGCAGGCTCGGAGAAGTCCTCCGGTCGGAGGTGTACTCTGTGGACGTAGTTGCCGGCATTGACGCGGGTAACGCCCAAGCCACGGTCACGCAGATTGATGGACATGTACCCAAAACCAAATCCAGACAACATCAGCAGGTGGGAAGTCAAGATGTCATTTGCCGAGACAGTTGGACTTTCTGTCTTGTTGCTTGATACACCGGCTTGATCTACAAGACGAACTTGCGGTTGAGATGGATACCATAAGCAGAAGCTGCGAAGCAAGCCCAAAAGCGTTGGGCATCGTGTCAGCCAGTTCTTGGATCGAAACATAGCCGGATGCTGACAAAGACCGAACAGCCCACAGTCCAAGGTGGTTTAAGTTGATCTTGTGCTTCTGAGGGCTAGACAAATTGATGTTTTCCGCATGCTTTCATGGCATCATGTGCAAATCCAGGGCGGCGAAGTGGGTTCATGCTGATCACCTGCACCTCACACGAACTAGCAACAAGCGACAAGCGTCCAGGACGGGCCCCCGAGAAGTTCAAGCGGCCTCGGGATCCAGCATGGCGTAGAGCCTGTAGAACGTGAATCCGTCGCCTAGGCTGCTCGGTGAACGAAGACGGTCCAACCGCTGCACGCCCTCTCGCACTCACTCCCTGTTCAACTCTCTGTTTCTTCCATTCTCCCTGCCGTCTCCACAGTCCCTACCGCCAGGACTTCGCGCAGAGCGGGCCTCCAGTTCCTTGTCTCCTGTTCTGCCAAGGCCTTCGGGTACTTGAAGGCAGGTATGGGTAACTGGCCGGCAAGATAAACCAGCCGTGACCCGAGCTCCTGTAGCAGATTGGCTGCGGACTCACTCTGCTCCCTTCCTTCTTACGTGTGTTACGTGGACCCTTGCCACGGCATGCAGACATCCGGCACGCATGCCTTCAGGGAGGTGTGAGAATTCTGTTCCCTCTCTTTCACTGGGTGTGCAGTGTGCAGGTTGGGTCCATGCACCCTAATCGCGTCGGCTCTCGTGTGCGTCTCAGAGAGTCCTTCACTTTCAAGTTGATATGGTTAGGGGAGGGCTTGCATGAAGTAGTATCAGGTACCTCGTCGTTCTTAACCGTAAACTCAGAACTACTTTTGCGGGCCGGAGCTCCAAGCAGTTCCGCTCTCTTGCGCTCCTCGGTTGGCTCTTTCTTCTGGCCTTCTTTTCATGGCTGTCTCCCCCTCTCTGCTTCAATGCCGGCACGTCGCCGATGGTGTGGTTCAACGAAACAACGAGAATGAAATACTGAGGATCTTCAGTGTGAACGACTGCAACTTTGAAGAGAACCTCATCGCGATTGATGGCCGCAAGTCCACAACCGATGGTGGCCCCAGGGATCTTCTGCACGTGGCACAGCAGATCCGAGCAGGCTAAGCGCTCCGTGATGGGCAGCGCACTTCGGCACTCCTGGGCTTGGACACGAGGCTTTCACGTTTCCCGACGAGACGGAAGAACTTGGCAAACTCAGCTTGGACTCCAAGAAGTGCCCTGGAGCTGGAGCCGGGGCTTCCGGCAACGCCAGAAAAGGACCTCATCTCAAGGGCGTCCCCCTGCGGTCTCACAGCATGAAATCACGAAGGCGAGCGGCAACCACAGCCCTCTTGGCAAAGGCGTCCGGAAAGCCAGGTGTTTGCAGCCACGATCTGTGCAACCTACTGTACGCTTTCGTGAAAAGGTGGCTTCTATCACTTACGATATGCAGGCAACCACACCCAGCTAGCATTGACGCAAAGGCACTCGGTCTCGGAGATAGCCGATCGGCGCTTCAGCACTGCAGTAGAGCGTCGCCGTACAAATGGGAGGCACCAGTAGCAAGTTGGAGATGCTTGCCTCGAACAGCGCTCTATGCGTGTAGATGATGAGACAGACATGTTTCAGCAGACAAGCCACCTCCATGTCCCGATCAAGGTCGAGTCTGGAGCGGAATTTCTGGTCGTGTTGTCCCAGCCCCACAAACCCCCGCGAAGCAGGCCATGGCTGTGAAACTGCAGCAGCCACGGTGCCTTCCCTAGTGTGCATCGCTTTGAGCTATAAGGCCAGACAAATTAGATATGCAATAAGCAGCAGAGCCAAAACAAGCAACAGCACTTTGTCCAAAACGCAAACTGAAGCCCAAGCCTCGTCTTGCTCACCGACAGTGAGTTGGAAACCACGGCCTGCAACAAAACTGTGTGCCTTGACTCTGACGGAGACCCGGTCGCTAGATGCCACTACCTCGCCGCCACTCCTCCCCCGGCCAGCTGCGGCCAGTCGCGACAATCACCACATCCTGTTCCGGCAGAGCAAAAGAAAGAACTGGAAGTGCTTGTGATCATTCTGAGGCAAGCACGTGATCTGCCAGCAGCGCCTAGCAGCGCAGTCTGCCAAGCCATCGATTGAAGACGTCAGGCGCAAGGCTTTTCAAGGGGCCTCCGGATCCTCCACAGAGTGCCCGAGGTGAAGCGTACCGAAGCCGGAAGCGGCATACTTCTCGAACTCCTGTTTGCAGGGAACGCACTTCATCTCCTGACTCCTCATCTGCTGGGTGTTCGTATCTTGGACGCTTTTTCCATTCCATTGTTACATGTCGCGAGCCGTTGAAGCTGTCTGTTGAATCACTGTTCTGTTGCCAGAGAGAAATCTGCCCTAAGAGCAGAGTCGATCTAGCAAGCTTTGCAAACAAGAATGAAAAAATTGTACATTCCTCCGCTGTATGATAAAACTTCTGTCAGGTGCGGGAGAACCGCCACACCTTTCTCTGTTATTAGGTCCGAGTCTGAGACGCTAGCATTTCGCGCCAGACCCACACACACACACACAAACACATACACGTCGCTGACTGAAGCCGCATATGCATCCTCGAATTTATCAAGAACATGTGGCAAGATGGAAAATGACCACAACACGAATTCTTGATGGCCGCACTGCGCGACACAAACCCAAACAGCCGCGTCTAAGTGACTCAGACCATTGGGTCGTGTGGAAGATCGCGCCGGAATGGTATCAAATATATCAAACCGTTCTCACGGCCAGTGCAAGGGACGCTACGCGACTCCCGATTCGTTTAATTCGAGCCGTTTTGGCAACATGGCAGCAAGCCAGAGCCTGTCGTGCACCTGAAGCCTTCTTTCATCTTTTCATCAGCTTCTCCACACCTCGAAGGCAGTCCTTCAGCTGCTGAGAAGCCTCCATGACAGATGCAACGATGTGTTCGTGGTTCTGCGCCATCTTCTTGATGTGCCTGCGAGAGCGATCCTCCTGCGACCTTGAACGGCGTCCACACTTCGTTGGCAGCATCAGGTCGGTGTCACAATCCACAGACACATAGTAAATTTCTGGCTTCTCCGAAAACTGTACCTTTGAGTCCGGACACTATTGAAAATCAGGCGGGTCTTCCTACAAAACAGTGCCGTCAGGAAGCTCGCTTTTTTACGCTGCCACGTGTATTGGTAGAGCTTACCTTGCTCAGTTGCTTTGAAGTGATGCAGGCTGCGCATCAAAAGGATCCCCCTGTCAGCCTGTGAAGACTCCGTGCATGTACTTTCGAGATCGTCGTCCAGCCGTTCAAAAAGCAGTTTTTCGTTGTCCAGGACCTGAGTCTGTCATGGCCATGCATCCTAAAGTAGCTTTTTGAGGCCTAAATAGCTGGCCGAGTAACTGAACGCCGAAGAGGCGTTTCGCAAACGGCTTGCATTAGTCTTCTGTTAACAGGATGTGCCGAAACCTTGGTCCATAGAGTTAGAGCAGCTGCACATCGGAAAAGCCTACTCCTAATCGAAACAGGGTTGAAGGATTAGGGCTTAGGGGTTTAAGGTTTAGGGTTTAGAGCCATAAACCCCAAAAAACACGTACCTCTCAACCCAGGCAGCTGAGCCGACTTCGAAAGTGTCAGCCACTGCACGTCGTCGCCGCGGAGACCATGAGGAGACTCGACGAGCATGGTGATGGGCATCGCAGCCATACTTCCTTGCCAGGTGCCAGGGACTGCTCTGTGGATCATGATAAGCCCGAACATGACACTAAGAACTAGCAGCAGGAGCAGGAGCAGGAGCAGCAGCAGGAGCAGTAGTAGTAGTAGTAGTAGTAGTAGTAGTCGTAGTAATCGCAGTAGTAATAGTAGTAGTCATGGTGAGCATAGCAGTCATTGTAGTCATTGTAGCCATCCTTGTAATAGGAGTGCGAGTAGGAGTAGGAGTAGGACGAGCAGTTGCAGTCGGGACAGTAGGTGGCACTTGGCAAGGCCGAAAGGTTGCCATCCTTGCTCCGATACGAGCATCGCCATCAGTAATTGGTTGATGCTTGTCGCAAGCTTGTCTGACGATGATGGTGAGGAAGGCTAAGCCCGGTACGAATGATGCCGGTGATGGTGGTGATAATCATAATGATAGGAGTGCTTGCTGATGTTGGTGATGCTGATGATAAACATGTTGATGAGGTCGACGATGATGGACATGAGTACGTATTTTACCCGGTGAGTCTAGGCAACAAACAGCTGTCTACTCCCTGCCTTCAGGGGCACCCTTGAGCTTGGGCTTGACCTGGGAGAATCATCTGTGGATTTGGTCCACAGGCCCGTATGCTGAATGTTCACACAACCGATAGCTGCTGTTCTTTCAGTTTAAGGCACTGAGTGGCTTGTGCGGTAACATGGACAACTCTTGAAGACTCCTAAGCACAAACGCTTTGATACATGACTCACTAGCTGCAGTAGCAGCTGGCAGGGTCGCTGCAGAGGGCCAAGCCGCGTAATCGATCAACCCTGCAGGAAAACACAGCAGACCCATACGAAGACAACATGTTGTGCTATAGTCCATAATGTAGTGTGCTACATAGGAACGCATAGCTGCAGGTTCTTGCTCGATAGTATTACATGCTGCTTATACCCTAGGTGACAAGCAGACATGATATCTTGTGTACACATGTATATATATATATATACATGTATATACCCTGTAGAAGTATGCACACGCAGCATATATATATATATATACACACACACACATTTCATGCACCTCGAGATGAAGATGACCCTCTGAAACCACAGCATCTTCATGTCTCCAGGAACCCTCCAGCAGTTGCAAAGATCGAAGGCGCACTGCTTCTTTCTTCTCAAAGTCGAAGGCAACTCAGATGCCGTGTTCCTTGTCTGGGAAAATCCCAACTCCCAGCTCTCGAGCCTCACATCGTAAGCACTGAATCCATTCTGAATTCAGAACACCGGATGTCCCCAAAGCCTTGGAAGCCTCAACCACGCCTTGGCTCCCAAGTCTGAGTTCAGAATGAACACCACCTTAACTCGAAGTGGAGGCTCAGAAGACATCCTTTGAAACCCCCAACCCTAAACCCTAAACCCCAATCCCTGCTTTGGGTGCCGGGCTCTGGCCGGTGCCGCGATGACCTTCCGGGACTTAGCCCCAGCCTCGAGGGATTCGCTTCATCGCCCTACACTCGAAGAGGGTTAGGGTTTAGGGTTTAGGGTTTAAGGTTTAGGGTTTAGGGTTTAGGGTAGGCTGAGATTTGAGGTTTCTTTGGACCGCTGCTTGAACGCTGTTGCAAGCTTTGTGGGCAGTCGATACCTGTGGCCGACGGCTTTGGGACCCATGAAGCTGCAAACAAACCAAAAGCACGGCAGCAGACCGCCAGCCGTGCCATGCAATTCATAATCAAGAGGCAGGCAAAGCAGACGAGGAGTTCAATGTCATCATCATAACGGTATTGGGATTGTCACTGGATATTATTGCTAACCATTCAGACTCTATGCAAAGTTGCTGTGGTCATGTCGTGAGCTACATGGGAGTCTCACCCAGCGGTCAGATTCCCTAATGATCCTTATCTTAAGGAGGCATGGCACACCAGTTCCAACACACACATGCCTAAATGCGTGTGCAAGTAAGTGTGAAGTGGGCTTGCTCAGGATGAAGCGCATGAGGGACAAGGGTTCAATCCTGACACGGCTTCAAGCTAGACAGACGGATCTCTCTTCCCTGGGAATAATAATACTACTGAATAAGTCCTCGATCTGACACTTCCAAATAGACATCATGAAAAGATCCACCACAGGCAGCCCGGATAGTAAAGCCATTTTTGTGCCCACCTGGACTCCACTGCGGCGCCGAAGCCCTCAAAGCCACCAAGTGCGGCCAGTGGATGCTGCCTGCTCTGGCAGAATAGCAACCGTTTTACGATGAGCACCCGATGCACTATGGACAGCAGCAGTAGTGATGCTTCCAGAAATGGCCAGCTACGCTAGTCACAGCCCGAGTCGTGGTCACAGTCATGCTCTTGCAGCAACAGCGATGGCAAGCTTAGCAAAGCTAGCATCACCAGCAACAAGCACGACCACATCACTGACAGCCGTGCTCAAACAAAAGGGCATCCCTACCACTCGTCGTCATCGGTACCGTAAAGATGCACAGCAATTAGATCACCAATACCACTACCATCACCACGACGACTACTGACCACCACCACCACCACCACCGCCACCACTGGCAGTCAGCTCTGTTTGTGGAAACATGGGGTAAGAAAGTCATTGCTCCGGATTTGCCAGATTCAGTTTGTTCAAGTATCTGTCAAGTCACGAATGTCAGTGGGAACTGGACAGTTCTTGAACTTGTGGCGTGGGATGGTACAGAGGCCACCCGCTCCCAATCCACTCCGAGAGCAAAGCAAACAAACGTGGCATGGTGCTCTCCTTGAAACGGCTGCTAAGAAGAGGAGTGCCGTTCCGATCCGACGTTCAGGCTAAACTGACGCTGGGATAACCAGTGAGTGACCTCTGACCTTTTCCTGAAGCCAACTCAAGCTAAGGCCTGCCACGAGGACAGGAATCCTACAATGAGGCAGAACCACCACAAGAACCACCTCCTGAGCCCTGGAAGGGCTTTGAAGGCTTCGGGATGCAAGCAGATCTCTCTGGGTTGCCTAGCAGCACTGTAAACACGAGGTGCCTCCCATCAGAAGCAGGAACCGCCGCTTGGCGGGTCTCAGTGGATCGGGCTGAAAACAGTCAAGGGCTGTGGCTGTGCCAGAACCAGTGGCCGTGACTGTTGTTGGTGTTGCTATGTGGTGGTGTTGTGGTCGTGCTCTCGTTGGCGACTACAATGCAACGGACTGTAAAGTTGGCCGTCCATGTTGCGCTCTCGGGGAAAACTGTGCGCTTCTGTTAACGTCGAACCACGTGCCCGTCAAGAAAAGCAACAGTGAGTCGCCTTCGAATCATGCTAAAGTCAAGATTTGTGTGCACATGCAACCAGCAGGATCCCAAAATTCCCAATGTAGTTCCGTAAGTCTTTGACGTCGTTTCGGCCTCGTCACACTCGGCGATGCTTGCACGGTTGGAGGAAGCAAAAGACCCAGAATGGCGCAGCAGTTGCAATGCTCAGAAACCTGAAGCGACAATCCCAAGCTTTGGCCCTGTGTCCAAACGAGTTGCAGGCTGAGGGCTGCGCGCTGCAAAGGCCCGAGACCCTGTAAAATGCTACACGGACAGCGCGTGCCATCTCGAACAACAAACCTTTAAATCTTGGGTGTGCATATACAGTATATGAACATCATATGTAGAAGCATAAACTCAAAGGTACGGCTACGCTTAAGACAACTACCTATCTGTCAAGCCGCCTATCTACGTATGTACAGACACTTAGACTTACACACAAGAGCAGTGAAAACAAATTCATTCAACAATTACATTTGTTCTTGTGTTCAATGTATTCTAATACTCCAAGAACGCCGAAACCAAGCCTCTTGGGCTCCCTAAACCCTAAACCAAGCCTCTTGGGCTCCCACCGGCGAGCTGGGCGGCGAGACAGGGCCGCTAGCTCTGAGAACGGCTTCCACCGTAGCCTGGAGGTGTTAAAGGAGCCGGTTGGGATTGGAGCAATGCTACAACATAGTAATACTATGAAAGAGCAATACTATGATATAGAAATGCTACAATGTAGCAATCTTACAATAGAGGTTTCTGTAGCAATATTATAGCTCTCCTATTTCATAGTAAAATGATTGGAAGTCATGGGTTTCAACTTCTTGAGCACCTTGAGGTGATTCGCAGGCAAGACATGCTCAGACCCATGGTACTGGCATGCTCTGAAAGTCAAACCTCCATGGAGCAGACCCACGGTTTCTTCCTTCATGTCGCTATTAACAGTCATAGTCATACTACTACAACTACTACAACTACTACGACGACGACTTCTGCTTCTTCGACTACGGCTGCTGCTGCTGCTGCTGCTGCTGCTGCTGCTGCTGCTGCTGCTGCTGCTGCTACGGCTACGGCTACGGCTACTCCTACTACTCCTACTACTCCTACTACTACTCCTACTACTACTACTACTACT